TAAGAACGGTGTTACATACCACATATGTCTTCAGGCAAAAGTGGTATACACCACAGCTGTATGATATTTTGCAACACATTCCTCGTTTTCTTCATTTCTGACTTATGCTGATTAGAGAAATTTTGATAACTACAGAACAATCTACATTTCACTACAATTTAGAACTCGATCACATCTCTTCTTTACATGCAATTGTTCACTCAGCCTTTCAGTATTAACATGTAATCTATGAAAATAAACCAATGAATCACAATTCAATCACAATGCCCTTCTTCAAACGTCAATCTCCTTGATGATGTATTATACATAGTTGTTTTTGTGTTTTACCAAATGGATGTGCATATTTTGATTTATCTGCCAAATAAATGAAAACTACACAGACTGAGTGTTGTGATAGTTTGCTATTCACTCATTGAAATGTCTGATTGAATCAACAATATGTTGAATAGTAGTTCAATTCCTGAAACATCGTACCATTTATGAAACTAATGTGATACAGATTCATGTTGTTTCACCGAAATCACAATATGCTCTGTGTATTTGTTCACTTTAACAGTTCTGAAGAGAAATTAGTCCGGTCGTAACTGCCTGCAGACTTCAGCATTGTAGAGATTCACGAATTGATTTGGAAGATTTCTCGGAAGGTTTTTGGCGGCAAATGTGATCAGGGTTCTTTCAAAAAAGACGATTCAATCCACCACAAATGAGCAAATAATTTATTATAAAGTGAAGATGAACATGAATCGCAGCTTCAGACACTTCTGGTAGACATCTACTACAATCAACCATGGGTTTGAGAAGTTATGAATGACTAAGATGTAAGATGGTTGAAGGGATCTGGCAGGTAGCTTGAATGCAAGATTATTCCTCAGTTCACACTCGCCACTCTGAATTATATGCAGTGTAGAGAGTGCAGATACTTCATATATCACTCGAACGAATATTCCCTAGTTTCGTGGTGGAAAAATGTTGTAATTCAGTTATGAATTCCACGTTTAACCTCTTTTAAGACTGACACCCTTATGTCAATGAATAAATACTGTTGATTGACTTGTATTCTCCGTAATAATAGTTACCTAAGTAAGTATAAACATCTGTTGATATAATCTGTGTAGAATCCAAACTACGCTTTGGACAGATGAATAGTCGTCCAGGTACGTTAGACACGTGCTTTTGCCCGTCAAAATCAAAACCAGTAAACGGGCAAATGACGGTTCTATAATCCATTATAAATTTAAATGTAAATCCTTACCTATACAAATATGATAACCCGGCTATTCAACCAATAACTATTCAATCAATCAAATATAAATTACAATAAATAAAGAAGTTGATAAAAGATGCAAATAAATCACTAGTCACAACAAATGAACGCTATTCTATTCTAATGGGATAGAACACGCATAAAAGGAGAAGCAAATCAATATGGCTGCCACCAGGAACAAGTATCAAGTAAAACAACATAGATGCAGTTCGGGAAGAAACACAAAACTTAGTGAAGGCGTAAGAAAAACAAAAACTATGATAAAGTAATGCAAATATTAACAATTCAAATGTCATCAAAAGAGTAACAATGTACAACTAGGGGGATCAATAGGAACAAAGTGCAAGTGTATAAATGGAGGGATGTTCACACACACCAAACATCAAAAGCGGATCTTATAATGTGAACTAGTTAATTTATTTTTAGAGCTTAAATTGACGTTGTTATTGTCATTACTGATTTCTTTACTACTTATACAAATATCAGTAGCTTCAAGCATTGGATCAAAACACCATCCTATCTAGATGATCATCAAGATAATATTAGAGTGATTTTGAGGAAATCCACACCTGACGTGGTCAGTAAAGAGACCCCATATCAAAACACTATTTCAATGGGGACATAACAGGTGACATTTTAACAGGTCGAATAGAAAGACCTATTGAAAGGACATTTCACACCGTCAGGTTGCATATAATCTCAGCCAAACTAGCACTTATACAACATATCAAGGATAGGTTATCGATGATTTGCTCCTTTATCCTTGTGTGCTCGTGAACGTGCACTAGTATGGTTGGGAAAATAATTCACTGGTCGGTTAACAGTCACATTCTTTCTCACTTAATACATAGTGAACATCATATTGAATTCCATAAAGCTTTCTATTTATTGTGTCAAGTTTCAAATTATTTATCTCAAGGAGCTAGACTACGGTTACTCTACATAGCTGAAGTCATCTGGATGAACTCCTGAAAACCGAATTGAAGTATGCAGAAGAGGTATATCCAGCATCGATGTGTTACCGTGGTCAACGACAGGATCACCAGATACCTGAACTGGATATTATAGACCTCTTATCCAAATTCCTTTAATGTTTATATCTTTCCTAATCCACCCATTCATCTATCCTAATTCACATTCATTCCTTCTTATCGTAATTACCTTGACTATACTCATTTTATCACATATTATATCCACACAAATTTAGGTTGATCAGTTTTATTATTATAATTATATTGATAAAAACATGGCACCATACTACAAATCATTACGACCTTCATTAACTGACCTTTCTAATTTACAAATCACACCATCTTGAAGTATTTCTATAGAAACAGATGAGAGAGTTCAACATTTCTCACATATAACATTGTTCAATTCATTCATGTATGCCTCATAATGGTCTTTGTAAAATAGTACAAACATTAGACATTTAACTGTAGAGGCTGATGATCGAATCAGTTGTTCGCTCAAATATTCTTTGTGTTTGCATTGGAATTCTCAAATTATCAAATTCAAACATAAAAGTCAACCATCAATTCCTCTATTTGATCACGTCAATCTCTCGTAAATATACTAGGAATGTAAAACACTGATTGCAAATTAACGTACCAGAATTGATAGTTATGGAGATTTTAGTAATCTGATAGTTGAATTGATGAATCGATCAAAGCTAGACCACCATGGAGAACCAGGATGCACTGGACGAATGTGTGATTGTATAAATGAGTTTCAATTGATGTATCCATTGGAGGCATGTATCCTGAGTTCACAAGCTTTTCTAATATTGAAGTATTCATTGATTTCCATGAATTAGTGATCATGGTTCAGTGTAATCAATCCAAATTATTCCCATAATTGACTTGTTGAATAGTGAATACATGTCATAGGATATCAGGGATATTCTGATGACTTGAATAACTTCAAGCGATTCTCAATAATGTAATAGGTATAGTATCTAAGTCTATCATCTTCAGACCTCAGAAATAGGCTATGAATTGATGTTAGAAAATAATATTCATAAGTATTTATATAACTTGTAAGGTGGTAAGATACTTACTTACTTACGCCTGTTACTCTTAATGGAGCATAGGCCGCCGACCAGAATTCTCCAACCCACTATGTCCTCCGCCTTCTTTTCTAGTTCCATCCAATTCTTGTTCATCTTTCTCATGTATATTTCCATTTCACCGGCGTAATGTTTTCTTTGGTCTTCCTCTTCTCCTTCGGCCTTGTGGATTCCATTTGATGGCTTGCCTTGTGATTCAGTTCGGTGTTTCCTCAATGTGTATCCTATCCACTTCCAGCGCTTCTTCCTGATTTCTTCCTCCGCTGGAATCTGGTTTGTTCTCTCCAACAGTACGTTGTTGCTAATAGTGTCTGGTCAACGGATCTGAAGTATTTTGTGTAGACAGCTGTTAATAAACACCTGTATTTTCTGGATGATGGCTTTCGTAGTTCTGCAGGTTTGTGCCCCATTCAGTAGAACTATCTTGACATTTGTATTGAAAATCCTGACCTTGGTGTTGGTTGACAGTTGCTTTGAGTTCCAGATGTTCTTAACTTGTAAATATGCTGCTTTTGCTTTACCGATCCGCTCCTTCACATCTGCATTAGATCCACCATGTTCATCAATGATGCTGC